AAGGCCAGGTTGGATGGGGCTTTGAGCAACCTGGTCTGGTGAGAGGTGTCCCTGCCCATGGCAGAGGGATTGGAACGAGATGGGCTTTAAGGTCCCTTCCAACCCAAACCATTTTGTCATTCTGTGACTCTATGATCTCTTGAGATGCTGGGAGAAACAAACTGAAAACTCCAGCATCCAGGGACAGAGGTCCCCTGCTCCAAGGATGGAGGCAAAAACATGCAGCACATTGTCAATTTGAGATGGCTCCAAAATCTCTCTTTCACGGCTGTTATAGACCAAGAAGAGGGAAGGGCCTAGGTGGCACTTGGGAAGAGACACAACGGATGAGAATATGGAGCTCGGACCATGTGGAGCTGCTTTTTTCTCCAGCCAGAGTCCCCAAACCCCACGCAGCAGCACTCCTTGCTGCTGGGAGCCCGCTCCCTCCTGGAAGGGACCAGCGAGGACAGCAGAGTCACTGCGAGCATCCTCAGCTCAGGGCCGCAGGGGTCCTGCTCCGACCCTGATCCCTGCGGCAGGTCTAAAATCCGGCACCAAACAGATGGATGTTTCCTTCAGGGAGCAAAAATCCTTTTGTTTTTCTGAGGTTTGGTTTTTTGGGTTGAAATCCCAACGGTGGCTGCTATGGTCATTATGGTTTCCAAGCCAGCAGCATGCGGTGGCCTGACCCTGAAGGATGAAACTTTTTTGCTTTTGATACAAAAATTAGGATATTTATATATATACACACACAGAGAATAAGGGTGGTTTTTTTTCTCCCTTTTTTTTTTAAAGAGCTGACCAGCAGAAAAATGTGAAACCATTTGCCTGCAGGTTCGGAAAAGCTTGTGCTTGTGGTGTTGTGTTTTTTTTTTCAGATGAGATCCAGGATATCTTTTTCTTCCTTTTTTTTTTTTTAAAAGGCTTTACTCCCTCAAGAAAAAAAAAATTTACAAACAAAATAACAGCCTGTATCAACTCTCCAGAAGAGAGATGGTATGACAATATTAATCCAAACATCACGCTATTTAATTCCCCAATAAAACATTGGAAAAAAAGGAGCCAACAGTATCTGCACTAACACTTTGCTACATATAAAATCTCCAGCTAATATGAAGCTTATGGTACCAACCTCTAAAACAGTTAAGATATATACACATATTTTTGGGGCGGGTATATTAACAAACAGAATATTACAAAATATTAAAGAAGGCAACTCTTCTGTCATTTGTTTCGGGGTGTGGATTTTTTTTGTTTTCTTCACTTGAAGTTGGCGTAGTCTGAGAAGGCGTCGATATATTCCTGCACCACCTTGTAGCAGAATTCGTACTGTTCCTGTGGGATTTAGGGAGAGCACAGTGTTAGACCAAGAAAATTCACACCTGAGACATAATTTGATGCTTCATGGTCTGCGGCAAGCTGGGATCAAGCATGGTTGGGTGTCCTCCACCCAGACCAAGGGCAGGAACTGGATTCCCACCCGTGAGCAAGTCCCACTTCCTTTGTGCCCCCAAAACCTAGGCTGCCCACCCTCCTTGCTGGGGTGCCATCAGCAAAAGAAACTCTGCATTCCCCTTCCTCTCTGAGGTCCTATTTTGACCCCAAAAGACTTTTTAAAAAACCTCTGAGCATCCTTGCAAAACTCCTCTTGCAAGACCTCAGCTAGTCCTGCCTGCTCCTCCCCTCCCTGCCACACTGCATGCCCAAGCCTATGCCACAGCCGCTCCAGGATAGTTTTCCAGGTTCCTGGAGCCCATAAATACTTGGCCTGTGGCTGAGGATTTCTCCAAGGAGGCTCCTACAGCTCGTGTCAGTGCTCAAAAGGGGCTTGATGCCTTCAGCCAGCCAAGTTCCACTCTTCCAGATGTCCTAACAAGAGGAAGGGGAGATACCTCCTGACCCACCTCCGTCCCTTTCTCTTTCACAGAGAGAGAAAACCTTCAACAGAGGAAGTTTTTGCTCAACATTGAGTCCCCAGCCCGTTCTCGCTGAGGTCTGTGGTGGCAGGAGGAGTGTGGAGTGTCAGCGCTCAGCTGCGCTTACCAGTGTCTGCACCATATGCGGCCTCTGTAGTCTTAAACTCTTCACCGTCTGAAAGACGTCGAGAATCCCTTCTGCCTTCACCCTTTCCAGGACAGTGCTCAGCGCACAGAAGGTGCCTGTTCTTCCTGCTCCGGCACTGGCAAAGAGAAACCAGAAGGTAAAGGAAACCGTCTGTCCTGACTGTATTGGCTTTGCTCAGGGGACAATCCATAGGGGTACCACTGGAGAACTGGAGGAGCCAACGGTCCTGTCCCATCCTCTCCCAGTTTAGCTAGGACACGTTCTACAAGACTGAAGCCTCTTTGCTTAGTTGAGCAGGAAGATCCCATACGACGTCTGCCCGGGTTGCTCCTGCTCAGCCCAAGCCTTCTGAGGGATCTTTGACCATCTCCCAAGCTCCTTGTAGAGCAAGTCCCCTTGGAGAGGTAGCCAACCCCTGCTCCATCCAAGCTTTACCTGCAGTGCACAGTGATCGGGTGGTTGCCAGACTGCTGCTGCTGCTTCTGCACAGCTGCGATGATGTTGATCATTCCCTTCCCGTCCCCAGGGATCCCAACTTCTGGCCAGCCGTGGAAATGAAACTGCCGAATCTGTCGGCTCTTGTTTTCCTGGTGGAAGAGCACAGCTCGAGGTCAGTAAGCTGGTGGGAGACCTCTACCAAGAAACCCACCAGCTCAAGGCTTTGGGAAAATCATCCACTGAGGAAAGCTGTCCGTTTGTGGAGGG